AAGTGAACGACGGTATCAGCCGGTGCTACGTGTTACGTGTCTTCTTCGAATAGCATCAACAGGCGCAAATGAAGCGCGTCTTCTCGGGATGTATTGAAATGAACAGCTGAGGCAAGGGCAAGCGACCGAGTGAATCCAGAACACGTTCGTTAAGTGTACGGGCGTGCTTGAAAACGTCAGCAGCCTAGTACCTAGAAGTACCGACCGTGTACACGTGAACGTGGACAAAGACTGCTAAACGAACCTACGTAACAATGGACGTATGCATTGCATGGGTATACTTTTTATATGCCTCAAGCGGAACGTGTCATATTGGCGGAACGTAGATGGCGCATTGAGAACATTCTAACTCAAAAAACTGCTTATGTGTCTCAACATGCTAAAGTGCTTATGAACACCTAATTTAATGCCCAAGAGAAGCTCTCTGCAATGCAGTCCAAAGCATTCAAGTCGGAAGCCAAGGCATTATTCAATCACTTACGAGGTGTTGAATTATTGCAGCACGTATTTTCTTAGCCTCCTCCGTTTTTATAGCGTAAGGTGCTATACGAGCTCGAAACAAGAACCAATTTTCTGAGTTCATTTCTCCGCTACCACCACCTGCACCACCTGTCTCCATACTATTGTGACGTCATCCTGATTCATTCCATGGCCGTCTGTTTCAGAGACAAGCGCCGAGACCCACGGTATTTTTCTTCCCAGCATCCGTTTATCACAGAACTTTCCCACCAGGAAATTATTTTGACCGTGTATATTTCACGACAGAACGTTAAAAAGGGTTCGTTCTTGGTGACGCCTGTCGGTTACTCCGATGAGCTTGTCAACTGTCACACACGTTCTGAAAAAAAAAGGGGGGGGGGAGGGGCGGGCGGATTTCGAGGCAGATTCATACGTAAGCCCTGATCACAGCAAGAAGATTAACCCCCGTATTCACAAACACTCCTCGACTCGACTTTCAGCCTTGCACTTGACAGAGTTGAGCACTGTGCCACCGCTCGGCTGAAAATGATGCTGCGCTACTCAAGGATCGCAGCATATTATCGCTGATATGCAGTGGCTTGCCCTGTCTAGAGACGGTGCTCCCATCGGCCTTCTCAAGTGAAGGTGAAGCGTTGAGTGTAGGGACGTCCGAGAATACGGGGCTAAGACGTTTAATGAAACGAAGGAGAAGAGGTTGGAGAGTGGGTTTCTAGCCTGCTACTCTGCCCGGGAGTAAGGGGGAAAAAGACAAATATGAAGGCACGATGATTGTTGTATAGCACAATGAGTAACTGCATACACTGTCCTGATCGGGGAAAAGTAACCATCGCGGCAAGCATGTGATTTGCTACAGGAATACCCCACCATTTGAATTATTTTCGAAAAAAAAAATGAAATCGCCCATGCAAACGTCATGTATCGCGAGAAAACGGGTTGACGGATGTATTATCTGGGGTGGCGAAAGGGTACTATCGCAGCACGCGGGACCTCATGCGATTTGCGTAGCGAGTGGGTGATGTAAGATCGTCCACTCATTACAAATGGCTCTAAGAAAAATTTCCGTATTTATTCATTCATATTGCCCGGAGATCTTGATGCCAAGATACTGACCCAAAGGTCATGGGTTTGATCCCGGCCCCGTGGCGGTCGCACTTTAAAGGAGCCGAAATGGTGAAGGGCCATGCATTATGAGCGATTTCTGTGCATGTTAAAGCACACCAGATGGTCGAAATTTCCGGAACCCTCCACTACGGCGTCTCTTATATCGTGTTTTTGGGACGTTAAGGACCCAGTTATTATTCTTACCCACATCATCTGGCGGCGCTTGGGGGAGCGGTGGAGGGTACGTATGTATAATAGCAGGCATGTAAACAGCAAACAAAAAACTTTTGTGCATAGCACACAAAGGCGAGTAATATTTTTGAGTGCAACAAGCGACCGTACCTATTCAAGGTGGCGCAGGGAAGCTGTTGTTTTAGCCCTGAGAACGAACACCAGCGGAGCGGCGGTCACGCTGATGTAACGTCACGGCAAGGACTCTCTTGGATTGCTGCCGAAAATGGCCCTCTAGTGCGCCCACCGCTCTTTAGCGTTCAGTGGTTAGTGCAGTGGTGGCAGTGCAAATCTACTAAGGTAGAATATGGGTGTTTCCACTGCTATAGCGATAATTACCTAAGCTGCCGAAACTTGAGGTGATATAGCTTATATTAAGCAAACTCACGTCCGAGTTGTAAGTTTACTGCGATAGTGTCGACGGTTCACGCTGTTTATAATTGTGCTATAACTTGACGTACACTTTCGCGGTTAGATCATGGGTTCAGAAGAAATCGACAACAAGACGCGTCTGCAGTAGACTTTTCGGGACGGCTCACTGCTCTTCCATAGTTGAGTACGAAGCACTCGATATCGGTAAACACTTTTTCTAAACTCACCAGACACAGAAAACCATTATCGTCTGATTTCGCAGCTGAAGACGCATCCTGTTGCGTATAGCTTTCGTCAGTGCTTTAGAGGCGAAGCTCCTTCTGGTCGAGGTTTGTCCGTTGGCTTTGGCGTCGTGCGCCTAGCCTTCGCTGACGATTCTGATGAAGAACAACTGCATTCCCGATCCCACGTGCTTTCTGCCAGCACGGCAGAGCACGTGCAAGGTACTCACTATATGGCGTAACGATCACGACGACTCATGATGATGTTGAAGATTTTGATCACGGACAACGACTGGTCTGTGCTGTATATGACGTCTCGACATGCTCCACCACGCATTTCGTACGACTGTAAACAACCAACAAACGCCAGGGGAACGTGCCCAGACATCGTCTGCGCCAACCTCGGGCTAGATCCGATACCACAAAGCAGTGATAATGAAGGCAAAACGAAATTTTAAAGTCAACGCAACCTATACCAGTTATGACCAATAAACGCTGTATATAACTGTACACCGCTTGACGCTAATTTACACGCCCGAGTGGTCAATGTCACGGGTTATTTACGGTAAACACCTAACGATCTCACTGCTTCGTCCACTGATCATCATTCACTTCCTAGATATGCCACGTTCTCTTTAGTTATTTGTATATATCTCAAATTTCCACTCATGAAGAAAGCCGACTTTTTGTAGTGCACGAATCTCTTGAGTCATGACATTGTACGCGGGAAGTCGTGCGGGTTCACGATGCACTTTTCTATAACCGAACAATTGATAAATAATGATATACTAAAATAAGGCATTTTCTCTTTTTTGTCAGAAAGGCTTTGTTATGAGCCGTGCAGACAACGTTTTAGTCATCGGAGGACGCGTCCGCTCCATGTCTATCAAGTAGCATTTTACCTGTGATGTTTTCATAGCCAACACTGTGCCGCTATTCACTGTACCTTTGTTGTTAAGCGGCAGCGCAGTGAAAGTGATTTGCTTCTTGACCGCTTATAGAGAGGAATCTTCTCCCAGCTCAGGCTTTTCTTTGTTGCAAACGTAGTGGCGTGAGTGGTCGAAGTCGATCGGTGGAGGAAATTCATCCAATTGCTTTAAACAGTGATGCTAAAAAAATGTCTACTCATCCAGTATGTTTTTTTTTTTTTTTCACTGGACGTAAAAGGTGGATGAAGCATCGAGTTACAGCCAACTCTCGAGGAGCGAGTTGTGCTTTACATCCCACTATGCGTTCATGATTTTTTCACGACCGTGAGTCACGTTGATGGCATTTATTGTTTAATATCCTTCATCAAGACCAAAATAAACATCATTTTTCTTATGCATTGCATTTAGCGCAATTATAGTGTATGTATGTCACGAAGCGCCCCATGCCACCAACACGCTCTGGCTCGATCAGCAAAACGAAACAGTTAGAGCAACGAAACATGAAGTCACGACCGCAATACACGCCGAGAAGCGTGAATTGCGGCCGCCGGCCACTGTCCATTTCAGTGAAGCCATGACTTCATCCGATGAAAGAAGCACGGGCTGTAAGTCCACACGTGCTATCTGTTCGTAAGACAACAAATGAGTTGAGCCTCGTCTGAGAGCCATCATTATTTGCACAGCGCGCCACCTATTGTTCGGGGGCGTTGCGAATAGCTTTGCGCAGAATAAGGTGTTGCAAGTTAGCGCCAGCGGGTCTCATGGCCATTCTCTGCTTGTGCGCTTGAACATTACTATACATGTGTTACCAACACCCCCAAACAGCTACATATTGAACTATGCTAATGAGCTGGCACTAATCTAGACTAACCTATAGACTAGACTAATATAGGCTGATCTACTGCCTTCCAGGTGGTTTGGAAGCCTTATCTAGCTTATGCGGGCTGTTTCCAGGTCGCTTCTATGTCATTGGTATACGCTTTAAATCGGTGAATCTAGAATGTTCTCACGTTGATTCTCAGTGTATATAGAAGTTCGAGTTAAACCAAAGGCCGTCACGATACGGGTGTGCAGATTCCATGGATTGAAACTCGCGCTGAAACGAAGCGTTGGCACCTCTCATAGATCTACAAGCACGTCGTCAACGGCGTAGGCCTTCCCTCGACTTGCGTTCTTATCGCAGCCACCATTGCCTTCTCCCGTTTCCAGGTATTCTGTCATACGTACTTGGGGTCTTACGCTTACCGCCGTCGCATCGCAGTCATTTGTTCGGCTCAGTGTTGCTGCTTTATTTCTTGTGGATGAGCGGTGAGCTGCGAGACTTACCCGAGTTCTGTGGCACATACTCGTTTGTGATGGTAATATAGTTTACTCGTAGGTCGCACAAATTACAGCTAGCGTAAGAAGCTTCAGTGTTGTTATTCTTCTCAACATCAGTGCTCAGATTTTGTAAAGAAATAAAGAAACATGCAGAATAATCGGAATGGTGTACGCAACGCTACAGTACGGAGCTGGGAAGTTTAGCCACATATATATACCACTTGACCCCTCGATCACCTAAGTGGTAAAAAGGACTACAACCGCACCCATGCTCTCTTCTTCACTAAAACGAACGTGTTTTAGAGGCAACTTCATGGATCAGGTCATGTGGCATGACAAGGCGTGAAAAAAAATATTACGCGTTTATTGAGTAGACTGAACGTGCTCGTGAACAAAGTTGGATGATGATGCGTAACAACAATGAAATTCCAGTTTGCAAAAGGCGTTCGCACACCATCGATTGATACAGTGAAATATATCGATGACCGAAGCCCTTGTCGGTGGTCTTCTGGGGACCTGTTAGCCTGACCTTTGGCGTTCGTTTCGTAAAGACTGAACTCCAACGAAATAAACACTCGGTAATTTCAAGTATTATTTCCTGCCTTTCTGGTCTTCCCGCTAAGGGTGAGGCTGTCCCGGGTTAGCGTTGAGGTAAGGCCTATCAACAAAGCTAACACCTCGGTCAGGGTGATTAGTGCGAAGCCCTTCCAATTCGAACAAGATGAGCCTGTTTTCCTCGGGATGCGGCTTGATGTAGACTCCGGGAACGTACAGCCTTATCTGCGGCCCGACTGCCGGCCAGTAACGCCCCAGGTTGAAGCCGTTAATAAACGCCACACCTTTCGTGTAGTTTGACGGGTCGAGGAACGTGTCCAGCGGCTTCTGTCCCTTGGGCAACGTGAACCAACCGTAGTAGAAGTGTGGTATGTTGCCCTGGCTATTTCTGGGCGTCCGCATGAGCTGGAAGAGTTCGCTAATGTCTCTCTTCTGTGTCAGAGGCAGGGCCTCGATGATCCAGTCAGTCAGGGTGATGCGGTCCACAGTCACGTTCCTAATTCCCTGGGAAAAAGAGCACGTTCTTACAGTCGGTCACTACTTAAGAAACGTGGCTTCCCCCTGTATATAAGAATCGCAATAATACAAATAAGAAACGTGTCCTTGCAGGAGTAATTCAGCGTTTATTGTGCGTTGTTTCAGCAACAGCAACATATTGCCACGTCTTGTTAAGGACGGCAAACAGCTTGAAACAGCGTGACATGCTTGGATATTCGTTTTCATATATATATATATATATATATATATATATATATATATATATATATATATATATATATATATTGATATGTGGGGTTTAACGTCCCAAAACCACCATATGATTATGAGAGACGCTGTAGTGCAGGGCTCCGGAAATTTAGACCACCTGGGGTTCTTCAACGTGCTCCCAAATCTGAGCACACGGGCCTGCAACATTTCCGCCTTCATCAGAAATGCAGCTGCCGCAGCCAGGATTCGAACCCGCGACCTGCGGGTCAGCAGCCGAGTACCTTAGCCACTCAACACGGATATGGATATTCGTATGAATATCCCTGTACATGTGGATACTCATATGAATGTCCATATGTATATTCATTTCCACGTGATTATCCATATCTGTATGGATATGGAAATACATACGGAAATTCATATCCATATTGATATCAACATAATATGCACATTGTGATCACTAAACAAGTTTGTATATACTGCACACTCGTGTTACGTTTTTGCATAACCGAGTGCTGTTCGCGTTGGTTAATGATAAGGTGACCTCATTCCCTTCGTGGATACGGTGGGATTTTTTCTGGCATATATGTTGCACATTGTGGCTTATACATGCCTATATACTTTTAAATCAATCACGAAAAGCTGTCGAGAGTGCCCATATAATTCATATCCTAATAATATTGTCAAGGTCCCTTATGCCTTCGCTTATGAGAAGTCGAAGGCCGTAGTCGTATGATTTTTCTTCTCAATCGATGCAGTAATGGTACCCCTGCTCTCTTCCGACAGTTTTCTACACCTAACGAGGTTTCTTAATACCTCAAGGATTATAGACTTCACATGCTTTGTGCACCTTACTTGGTTTTGGTCGGCCCACAATTAACCAAGCGATGATGCGATGCGCGGAGGGGGGGGGGGCGTCGTCTAGCGTTGTCATCATGTTTTCAGAAAGTTTTGTGTTTTATGACGCTATGACAACTTCATAACGTTATATTCTTTTTTTTTCGATCATTTGTTAAAGCCGACGCCACTGATGCCGCCGACGCTGCAGACGCTGACATTTCATTTTCGCGTTTTGGATCTGTATGTCGTTTCGGTGGTGTGGTCGGTAAGCAGTGTGAATGACGTGGAATGTCGGCGGCGCAAGAGTTCCGCTTGCTTTGGACCGAGAATTTGCAAGTGTGCACGAGCCTCAAGGTTTGTCGCCTCAATAACATACACAACTGCGATGCCCATGTCATTCATCTGTGTAAAAGAGTCGGGGCTTGTTTATTCCGTTGTCCCCGTAAGCGTGTTTTCCCCCTAATGGGAGCACTACAGATATCAGTAATCAATGTTTCATCTTCTCTGATTAAGCTATCACGCTCACCGGAAACACGAATGAGAATATTCGATTAACCATGCCAATCAGTTGAAGCTATCGAATTAAGAGCTGTGACACCAACACGTTTGTATGAGTATATGCGCTTCTTGGAATTCGCAATGGTTAGCGTCACAAAAACGAGTGAGTGCTGCTGGTCTGGGCTTCTATGTAACAATCCCGCAGTAGGGAGAGCAAAGGCTAAGGGTGGAACCAAAGGCATAGTTGGCTAGATAAGTCAAGCATACATTTGACTCGTCATGACCGGGTATACAAGACCTACGCACTCACCTTCGGATCGCGATTCTTGGGACCGAAGTCTTCGCGGCCCATGTTCTCCACCAGGATGGACAGCCTCTCGCCCAACCTGAGCATCACGTTGCAACCGGTTTTGGCTGGCAGGCGTGCGGTGTCGAATATGCGCATGAAGTAGCGTTCGTCACGCACGTGCAGCTGCGCCATGTCGCGGAGACCGTGAAGCGCCATTAAGTACCGGCCATCCAGGCCGGCCATGAACACAGTGCGGTACAAAAGAAACCCGAAGTCCTGGCCGAGCTCTTCGAAGGTCAACGGATACTCGGACCTTCTTCGCTTGAGCCAGCCTTTATGTCTGAAGTGTGCCATTACGTCCGTCAGGGACATGCTGTGTGGCATGCGAATGGCGTCTACCTTCAACTTGGGCCAGGGCTTACGAAGCTCCCCGGATTTGAGCGGAATGTACTTGCCGATTGATTTGCGTAGTGGGAAGTAGTAGGCCTTCGGGTCGCCGTCTTCTCCCATGGGCGCGTCGTAGTCGTAGCTCGTTACCAACGGCGATTCTGAGCTGGTGGCAGCCTTGAAGCCGAAGCTCGTGCCTCCGTGGAACATGTAGAAAATAACGTTGGCCCCCTGTTCCATCATCTTCTCGAAGGTGGCGATGACCCAGGGTGGATAGGCCGGATTGTCGTCCCAGCCCCAGTAGTTCATCCAACCGGTGTAGTACTCACTCACTACGATGGGAGCCCCCGGCTTGACCTGTGCTTGGCGAATGACGTCAAAGTATTTGCTTACGTTGCTCTTGGGGTCGAGGTTGCCGGCCACCAAGATTTGTCGCACCTTGTCACAATTGTATCGTTCCAAAGATGGTGCGTTGGAGCGGAACATGACTACGTCCGTGCCTAAAAGCACCCGCTGCAGGGACAATACGACATCCATGTATAAGGGGTCGCAGTAACCTTCGAGATGGCCGTACTTATTCTCGACCTGCATTAGTGGGCACGGAGGAGTAAGTAACCAACTCTCTGTCGCGTTGCTCTAGACGATCGCTTGCAGTGAGTTTCTGTACCAGCTCGTGAAGCTGTATTCACAAGACAGACGTGAGCGCGGACGCATCAATGGCGAGCGATGCGACGTAATTTAGATCCCTCCGCAGCCAGCATTCACACGACGGAGGATAATTCACGCTACAAGCGAGGATTTCAGAATTGGTTACCTAAGATCCCAACAATTTGGGTGTAGTCCCACGTACTAATTTTTAAGAAAACGTAGTTGATAAAAAAGTGGCGCTTTCCTGTCAGAGCACCTCTTTCATGTCAACTACTTTTTCTTGCAATTTTTTCACGCAGCGCTACACCCAATTATTGCAATAGAGTACCAACTAGCCTGGCACCCTTGTTCAAGATTTCAACAGCGATTTGCGCTTCCGTCATTTCCCAAATTAGTCCCCGCGTACCGAAGCGAAAACGCGAGAACGGCTGACGTATAGTGACGCAGTACGCAATCCGCAGATTCGAATCACGATTTGGTCCGTCGTACGAATACAGCTCAATAAACACTTGTAACATTCGAAAACTCTTTTACTCGGGAATGTACATATCGATTTCGAGAATGACGCCCGGGACTGTTAAGGATATTACAGGCTATTGCTCTACTTTCATATCATTGGAAGCTTTCATCCTTTTCGGCGTGAACGATTGCTTTTTTTTTTTCAGTGCCATATCGCGCTTGTCAAGTCTATAAAACTGCGACCTGACCAATTCTAATAGAGCTTCAGGGTATGTCCAACATGTGTCACAATGACAACAGTTGAGGAGGTCGATAATAGTCAAGCCACAAACACTAGCCGGCAGTGTGGAGGCGTCGTGCAAAAGAGCCATCAGTGGAGACTGAAAAGAAACAAGAGATAGCTTCGATAACAAGGCCGTACGGCTGCAAACAGTCATCTGCTTCTTCCGCGTCCCCATTTCCTTTCGTTAAGTTCCTCTCGATGGCTGAAGTGGTAACACTTTCAGGCCCTTTTACCTATTGCGCTCGTTCGTACGTTAACGGCTGATGCTACTCGAAAAAAAAAAGAAAGAATCTTTGATCTACAGCCTGAAATAATAGAATTGCGGCTGTTTACATAGATTTTTATGCTGGTTTAAAATATGTCAGTTTTATAGGAAGGTGTATAGTTTTCATCTTTACCATTGCAACGTGTAAAATAAGGCTTTTTTTTTGACACACTTTCTATGCCACGAACTTCTCTGGGTATGAACAATGATTTGTCCACATTGCTCCACATTACGTGCAGAACGCAAATAATTAACAAGAAACTGTGTATAAGATATCTAATGAGCAAGAAAAAGAGTATTGTGAGAAGTCTTAATGCTCAACCTATACTAATTGCTTGCCTTCGGTTCATAATAATTATGTAAGCGATATAAAGTGTTATAGTCATAACAACAAAATTGCACTTTTCACACGTCAAGGTATTTGTAGTGAAATTTTCGTTTTGAGCTGGCCATCGGAAGGGCCATAAGCATTATGTTCAATTTGAAGAAAATTCTTACAATTTCATCTTCAAAAAGAACTGGCAGATCCCACGCACAGTGGGAATCGATGTTATGCGAAGCGCCAATGAGGAAGGCTGATATGTCAGTTTAAAATCAAAACAACATTGCGAGGTGGAGGTAAGTTATGCCGTACATAACTTCCATGTCATTATTATTATGTTTGGACGTGTTATTTACTTTCATCATCTATTCACGCCACCTGATACAAAATTTATTTTCTGGAGCTAGCGAAACGGCTACGAATGTGCTTATGAGCGTACCATGTAGTCATGTTTTACATTACACGCATATCCTAAATATGTTCGGACGTCTCATTTAACTTCGCCGTCTATTGACGTCATGCAATACTAACTATGTATTTGTGAAGCTAGAGAAACGACCACGAGTGCATCATGAGCGTGGCATGAGGTCATGTTGTTACATGACACGCATCTCACAATTATCATGTTTGCACCAGTCACATACGTTCGTCGTTCATTCACGTCCCGCATTACCAAACTTGGAATGTGTGAAGCTATAGCGAAACGGCGGGGAGAGCATCATGAAGGGCCCAATATACTGCGACGCTACGTCGACGAGCGCACGCTGGGTGCAGTGAGGCTACGCTAACAAAACGCGAGCACTCTATAGTCTGACGCCAGACGCGACCAGCGTCTGTCGGCGCAGCTCGGCGGCAAACGGTGCGAAATGCGACATGCTGCATTTCGCACCAACCACGTTATCCAGAATGCACCACGTCTGTCTAGCTTGGTTACGAACCTATGCCGGGCGTGCTAAAACGTCCCTGCGTCAAAGCAACGCAGTGCGGCGCGTGCCTGCGAGTATATGCCAGCGTCTGGCGTGGCATCGCTGGCATGACGCCACGAAACGAACGCTTGACCACACGCAGACTGGATAACGTCTAAGTGTATTGGCGCCTTGAGTGTGGCATGTAGTCATGCTCTTACATGACACGTATCTCATAAGTATTACGTTTGCACCATTCACATACATTCGTCATCCATTCACGTGACGTAATACCAAATTTGGCATACATAAATGTAGCGAAAAGGCCCCGAGCGCCTCATGAGTGCGGCATGTAGTCACGTTGTTACATGACACGTATGTCATGATTACCATTTTTTGGACACGTGATTCGCGTGTCATCCTTTCGTGTCACGTAATACTGAATTTGGTACGTGTGAAGCTAGCGAGACGGCCGTGAGCGCATCGTGAACGTAGCATGTAGTCATGTTGTTGCATGACATGCATCACATGATTATCATGCTTGCACTAGTCACATGCCTTTGTCGTCCATTCACGTCCCATA